TTATTTTTATTACAGGTAGCCCTCGATTTACAACCAGTTGGGACCGGAACTTCCATCGCTAAGCAATGCAGTTAAGTGAGTCACACCCGATTTTATGACCTTTTTGATGCAGTTGATAAGCCAGTCATGTGATCATTAAGTGAATCCAGCTTCCCCCATTGAATTTGCTTGTTGGAAGCCCCCAGGAAGGTCACAAATGGTGATCATGTGACCCCAGGACACTGCAACTGTCATAAATACATGCCAGTTGCCAAACACCTGAATTTTGATCATGTGACCGTGGGGACGCTGTGACAGTTATAAGTCACTTTTGCCAGCACCTTTATAACTTCAGTCACTAAACAAATGGCCATAAGTCAAGGACTGCCTGTACTCATATTCTTATTCTCATTAATTAATTACCGGGAAGAGAGTGCTAGAAATTTTCTTAATTGTGTTAGCACTTCTAAATTAAGGTGGGGAAATCTATGTTTTAATATCTTTTATATATTTATTTACTGCCATATTATTAGGAATCTGTAAGCTCAAAACATTTTCTGTGTAATCCTTGCTCCTTTGTAATGGTTCAAAATATATACTATTATATACTAGTACATATACACATACTATGTAATACAGTACACAGCGGCAGAGTGTAAGATGCAGGCAGAATAGCATACATTGAAAGGCACAACCAAGTAGCTGGCATTGTGTACAGGAACATCTGCATAGTGTATGGGCTAGACCCTCCCAAGTCCAGATGGGAGATTCCGCAGAAGGTTGTGAAGAATAACAGGGCTAAAATTCTGTGGGACTTCCAGATCCAGACAAACAGGCAGGTACTGGCCAGTCAACCAGGCATCGTGATAATAGACAAGGACCAGAAGGCAGCGGTGGTGATAGATGTAGCAGTGCCAAGTGACAGCAACATCAGGAAGAAGGTGTATGAGAAGCTGGAGAAGTACCAGGGTCTCAAGTAGGATCTACAGTGGATGTAGAAAGTAAAGGCCAAAATGGTCCCAGTGGTGGTAGGAGCACTCGGGGCTGTGACTCCTAAGCTGGCTCCAACAGATCCCAGGAACTACATCAGAGTCTCTGTCCAGAAGAGTGCAGTGCTAGGAACAGCTAAGATACTGTACAAAACCCTCAAACTCCCAGGCCTATGGTAGAGGACCCAAGTTTGAGGAAGACACATACCACGTGTAGTGGCGAGAGGTATACATGTGTGTGTGTGTGTGTGTGTGTGTGTACGTACACACCTATCCATCCAATAACAGCACTTCAGCAGGACAAAGCTACTGGCATATTACCCACAGACAAGTGCTTCGAGATGAATAGGATCAGAATCCTTTAGAGATATCATTTATCTTCAGAACTGATCTCTAAAACAACTGGGAAGTAAGCAAGACACAGGATGTCCTGAGTTGTTAGCTTTTCTGTCTCTGGGATTTATTTATTGTCGCATAAAACAATAATCCAAACCTGTATTATTTATACTTACTCTAACTTTATGGTCATAGACCCAGAGATTGGTATCACTTCCAATAAATTTTCTTTAAAATAAATTCATCAAAATACTTGTACTGTCCTGTTCCCAAAGCATGAGAACCTATTCCATAGGTTAAGAGTTTATTGCAGGGTAATTCTAACGAACAATGAGTCAAGTAGACCTACTTCCTAGATTGTTCCCACTGATAGGAGGGAATGAACTGAGTTAACCACTGTGTCTGAAACTTCCTCAGTTTCCTGTAAGAACATGCAGACTTCAAACTGAAACAGATAAAATATGCCCCAACATTCATATTAAATGATTTTATTTTCTGCACTTAGATTTTCTCCAATTTTACAGGATTTATTGCCAAGGATAATGAAAGCCTTGACATGAAGCACCAAACATTATACTAAGATGCTATTCTGATTTTTTTTTTTTTTTCCAGCCAACAGCTACCCAAGAGCAGTTTGCAAACTTACCACATTCCAAGTTTCAGTATCACTGACTGTGCCTGGTGGGCTTTCTTCTGCCGGAGACTGAGAAGACTCTGGCTCTAGGGAGCGCATGGTCCCATCCTCTGACACCTGAGATTTCTCTGTCAGTTTGTCAATGCCTGGATTTTGAGAGGCAGCATTAGGAAAAAAACTGGAGGGTTTGGCAACATATAACTTTTTTCTAGTCAAGAGCAGGACACAATTCTACCTACAGCAAACTTCCCCAGCACTGGACTCCAGGAAACAAGAAAATATTAATCCAAGTAGCTAACAAAGCAACCCATGTCAGATGAATATGGCTTAATCCCTTTAACCTGTAAAAATAATTTGTGGTCAACATTTTTCAAACGTGATTTAATATATTTTTCCGTATGGGAAAGCAACAATTTTCACTGCCTAATAATCTTGTTTCCTGAATAAATCAAGCAGTATCAGGCTGACTTTGCATCACCCCAGCTTTTAACCACTTAAAACAAAGATGCTCAGCTTGTGGGCTTTTCTGCCTTCCTTTCTCAGCAATACTGTCAAGGCCATGATGATCTTGGAATATAGACATTTCCTAGGAGGATGTAGCTATTCTCCCTGATACAACCATGCCAACCCCCAGGTTTAGCTATGACATGAAGGCAATCACATGAGACAATCGTCTTTGCCATACCATCATCTCTGACTTCCAGATCATCCCCAGCCCATTTGAACGTCACTGTGCATTGTCCCCACTTTGTCTGCACAAAGGTATGAAATGCATGTAGGACCTCTCCAAGGACTGGGCTATGAAACCCAAATCAGAAGGCAAGGCGGATCTGGTAACACTATCTTGCAAACAAAACACCCACAAATACAGGAGCCACACAGTCAAAGTCCCATTATATCCAGCTCTGAGATACTGTAAAGGGGAACTAAAGTATTTCTCGAGGGATGATCTACAACCCATTTTTTTACTTAACAACTTGACAGAGCTACTTTGTAGTCAGTGTTGTACAATGACTGGAGGACATGTACAAGAGCAGATGTGGGGTATAAACTTCACATACTAGGATTTGATAACTGGAGAGACAATGGACAAAAATCTAGCATGAATTGTACCAAACAATTAAAAATTTACTACATTGTGTAAGTCAATTGAAGTTTTACTCCATGGTGGCAAGGACAAAAAAACAAAAACAACTCTAGTTCCTTACTACCTTACTACTAGCAGCTAAACAGACAGACAAACAATGCATTTCCATTCTTTGTTAGAATACTGAAGCAGTCAGTAACTCACAGTGAATAATTTGCTTTCATTTAATCAAAAAATATTGCTTGGATCCAGCTTGGACTCTAATACTATGACAGTAGGGTGAAGTATAATTATTTAAGCAATAGTATGCTTTGCATTTGTGCAATGATCCCTAAAACTATTTAGATTTATTAGCTATCTAAACATATAGATGAGCCTTGCCACAACAGAACCTGTTCTATTTCAGAAGCATCTGCAAGGCACAGTCATCTGTTACTATCTACAACGATGAAAAAATAAGCGTGTCAGTACGCCACGTTGCAAACCTTGGCTTTTCATATTTGCATCCTGACATCAGTTGCAATTACGTAACTCACAGGGTTTGCGTTGTGATGTCACGATGCACATTTTGTCACTTGCCCCTGCCTCCATGGATACCTATGCCTCAAGGTATTTTAAAGTCACACACATTTTCTCCATGTTGTCCTAACCAATGGCATCTTTCAAATGCTTGTTATCATAGCACCAACATCTTTCTGAGCCAGAAATATAGGAAAAAGCCAGCTGTGTTGGACAATGGGAGAAGGACTAACTCTGGGTACTAAAAATTTTCATGGCGAGAGCCCACGGCATGGCCAACCTGTCCATATTTCCACTTTCTTCTGTGAGCTGGAAGGAGAGGGGCACAGCAGCTGGTGTACATGTTCCAGCAGCACCTTAAGGGTGAATGGGTGGGGGGGAGGAAGGTTGTTGGAGGGTGCTCAGAAATTGGACTTGCTATTGCCATTCCATAGATGCTTGGTGACATAGCATCTACGAGCAGTAGACATAGACATCTGCTATCGCCCCCTATGTGTCCAGGAAATAGATCAGCAAAAATGCTGGAGAAGGAACAAAGAAAGAAGATAGCTGGAGAGAAGATGAGAAAGTAATCACGAATGCTTCTGGGCAGTCAGGAAAAGATAAGAACACACAAAAAGTGTAAGCTGTGAAATTGTCGAACGTAACAGATGCTATGTGCAAAGTCTGTTGGAATAAGCAACGGATTTCTGGACATCAGCTGATTTCTTGACCCAACAAATGGACAAACAAGGGAGCTAGTCACAGGCAAGAGGGCCACATAGGCACACCTTGTTTATTATATGCATAAAGAGGGGAGTTTCTTCAGGAAGATTCTAGAAGGCGCCAGAGGACCATAAAAGCCCCTACCCTACAGAGAACTGCAGAGAAGAGTCCATCTGCAGTCATGGGACAAGCTTATCTTCTCCATCCCTTTGCACAGGCATACTACTCAAAAGTATAACAATGTAAGAATTGATAACCAGTATATAGTTAAAAGAAGTTCATTATCTGCTACACTTATTAATATTTTAATAAATGGTGCTGTAGTAAATTTGGTGTTAATCTTCTATTTGGTTATCTATTTATTTGTTTGATTTATATAGCTACCCATCTTACACAAGTGACTCTGGGTAGCTTAAAAGATTAAAATAGACAAACCCACCAAACATAACCCCCAGCATCCAAGGATAAATAGTTGACCTCGCTCACCATCAATAGTAACAGAGCTCATCTACCTACCTGACCCAAATGCCTGGGGAAACAGCCAGGTCTTCAATGTCTTGCAAAAAGCTAACAGGATTGGGGCCATCCAGATCTCCAGGGGGATGCTGTCCCACAGGGCAGGTGCTGCCACTGAGAAGGCACAACTCCAGGGTCCACCAAGATAACAATGTTTAATAGAAGGGACCGAGAGCATGCTCTCCCTGCTAGATCTGGTGGGATGGGCAGAAACAATAGGAGAAAGACTGTTCTGGAAGTAGCCTGGCCTTCTGTATCCCTCTGTATAAATCCAGCTGTGTGAAACTGATTGTTCTGCCCCATTTAACAAAAATAAATAAAATTATGTATAACAGGTGGTGTTGCTATAATTTTGGCAAGTTAGTTTGGATTATTTTCATCTTGTAGATTGAGGACAGAGGACAAAATAATTGGAGCCTTGTGGACTGCCCTAAACTTACCTGAGCCTTCTCCTTCTTGGCTGATGAAAGCAGTCAATTCAATACGAACAACATGGTTAATGAAACTGATTAATGCTAGCTTGCCAGAGAAAGTTGTTCCCTCCTGCTTAAAAGAACTTCCTTCAGAATTCCACATGGCTCCCACATTTTCCATTTTTTAGAAAAAGATGCTAGGCTATATATGTTTTATTTTTACATTATTTTTGGTACTTTTGTAGTTATTTTTAACATTTCGTAATCGTTTAAAATCATATCATTTGCATTTTTATATTACTATGGTTTATTTTTATTTGTTCTACACATCCAAGTACCTTTTCTAGAAAGAGAGTATTCAAGTATCAAAATAAAAGTTAAATGATATGTAAGTTAAAAGAGAGAAGCAAATAATAATCACTCACTATTCAGACCATGGAATAAAAATTCTTTACTAGCAGAAGCCTAGACCCAAGTCTTAATCCACCCAGGCCAGACATCAAAGGCTTATCCAGACTGAATCAAAACCTTGTGTGAGCCTCAGTGTCACAGATGCTCTGGACTGACCTGGGGTTGCTACTAGGCTGGCCTTTAGGGTTCCAGGCTCTGCAGGTGCAGCAGGTCTTGACCCTTCCATGGACATCCCCTCCTGAGAGTTGGTACGAGATATGGGCTCAGGAGCTTTCTTTTTGCGTTGTAAGGCTTTCTGGATGGACTGCAAGTCAGTAGGAAGGTTGGCTAGCTGATGGAATACATTTCGCTTGCGAATAATGGCATATACCAAATTGGAATTACCTAGGAGTTCACAACAACAGGAAGAGAAAGATAAAAATACAAATCTTTAACCTTCTTTAAATGGGAAAAACAAATTGAAAAAGATCTGCAGACAAGCCTGTTGGCTTATCATGGATAGGACTATTAGATCTGCAGAAGTCCAGGTAACCAATGGCTTCCTACAATTTAATGGCTGCCTGGATTTGTGCAGCTCAGATCTGATAGCCCTAATCACGAGATGATAAGAAACTAACTACAGCTACAGCTATGTGCTCAGTTTCATGCTCAGGAAGTAGAGGTTTAACATTGTTCTCTTCCCCCCCCCGCCCCCCCCCTTCTTCATGCTAGTCAAATTCTAGCCTGTAGTTTTTGAACTGTTATTCCTTCAGGTGGTGATATCTACCTTTTAGGTCATCACTAGATTACTGTGCCGCAAAAGAATAAACTGATACCTTATCTATTACAGAACTCTGGCTGCTTCAGCATTATACCAAGAAATATTTCTAAATGTTTTCCTAGTTGCTATTTCCCAGAAATTATTTGAAACACGATGAAATGAAGTGATTGTTTATTTTCCATTGATCAGCATGCAAGATTTGGGATTGCAGGCAGGCTTTCTGATTGACTGTCAACCTACTGAGATTCTGGCCTACTCATGGCCTCTCAGGTTCAGTTCCCAACTTACAAAGTGAAAACTACAGAAGCATGCATTTGAAAAGATTTTATGCACAAGTGAAAAAGTAAAAGAGGACTAAATTGCACTTTGTAGATGAAAAATGTCCTAAAGTAATGAGCAAGAAATATTAAAGGCAACAGCAGTCATCAGTAACAGGAGCTTCCTTTTCCAATTCAAAAAATAATAAAGAACCAAATTTGCAAAATAAATGCTAGTAGCCCTCAAGAACAAAACCAAATGTGAGATTTTTTTTTTACTACTAGAAATGGCAAATCTAAGAAAGAAAGAAAGAAGGGATATTTGCACCATTTGTGATGGAGAAGCTTCACAGTTTTATACCTAGGTGAATATTTATTCTTGGAGTAAATTAAACTCTCAGAGAAGGATAGATTTTGTTTACTGTTCAGCCACTCACCATCAAACTGGTACTGGATGATATTGTTGAAGACTTCCAGCAGAAAGAAGACAAGGTGGTGGTTTTGGACTGTGGAGAAAAGGAACCAAGTAGTCGAAAATGCTTCCAACAGGTGCAGCAATTTGTTAGCTGCTACCATGGAAAGAGACTTCAAGTATGGAGATACTAGAAGACAGAAAAATTAAAAAGGAAGAAAAAGTTAATTAGAGAGATCAAAAATGTCCACTACAACTACATATTTGTGTACTGTCAGCGTACAAGGTACTTACAGAGTTTCACCCTCACCAAGGGGAATACAATCTAATTCAGACAGTGGGGGAAAAAATAGTAAGGGCAAATATAGGAAAGCAGCTAGGATGGGGATTAAGGCAAAGGCTTAAAATATGTTCTGAGAAAATGGTTAGCTCAGCCCTTTATGAAAAATCAAATACTACCATCTTTGTTTGGATATAACAAAGAGCAGGAAAAAAAATTGTTTTTCTAGTAACAATTAAAATAATTTAACTGGAAATTTCCCAGATCAAAAAAAAAAAAAAAATTAAAGTGAACTAAATAGACTCACACCTAATTCCAGAAATTTAGCAGCAAATTCTCTAATGCAACTTGATCCATATCTTAAAACCTGCTACGGGGAGGTATTGCATGCTAATTTCATAAAGAGAAATAGCAGAAGTGTAATATCCAAGTTTACTGAACTCTTGAACAGCTGCATCATAATGAAGAAAACTACTGCCATCTTCTGAGAAGAAGGCAGTATTACAGCAACTCTACCACCATTCTTAAAATTATGTCAGCTCTGAATGATAAAATATAATATCCCTCAAGTAAAACCAAGAGAAGTTCACAGCTACACACACATCTTCCAATATTTCCTTCAACAATTACCTCCAAAAAGAGATTTGGGTACTACAATTAAATTTTTAGACACGATAAGGCCTGCATGCATGACTATACTGGTCAGTCCCGAAGGAAAATGATGCTGCGCTAATTTGCTCAAAATTTTGAAAACAAAAATGTATTTTAAATATATATTGTAGCCTTTCAGCTTGGCTGTCATTACAGATTAGGCAACCTACCATTCACGATGATGGTAAGGAGGCAGTCAAACAGGGGCTGCAACCGCTGATGTCCACTAGTGATGATTTTGTGAAAGACCTGGAGGGTAGAATGAAAGTTAGAAAGGGTCATATTATTTTTACAGCAGCCATACTCTCCGCTACAAGCAAATACGCTGCTAGCAAATTCCACACTCACAATGATGAGAAGATCGGCATGTGTCCCTGTAAAGACAGGAATATCCATTGGTACTCGTACAGAATATGGCTTGTTGAGGCGGACACCAAAATTTCTTTCTCCGCTCAGCAGCAATAAGATGAAGACACCAATGTGCATAAGACCAACTCGAGCTGTAAAAATACAGTGCCAAAATTAAATCAGCCGGTGACCAAGGGGCAAGCCAGCCATTGACAATAGTAGAAGGTCAAAAACAAAATGTAATGCTTACCAACACAAATACCCCACTCTCATTCAGTGTGGTGTTCTAAAACAAATTTATGGTTCAACCTCACCCATGCTGCTGTCCAGCACATAGTTCAATGCCAAGAAGCAGCCTGCATCTGTTGCTTTGTGCTGTAAGCAGAACTCCAAATGTAATCCATGACTCAATATACAGATAAATACACGTGGCTACTTTCAGTCCCAATTCAGCTCTAGCCCTTCTCCAACTAGAATCTCAGAAATTACTCCGGCTTAATCTATCCCATAAAGAGACGTGGAAATAGTTTGTGGACTTACCTGAATTCATTCATTTGACCTCTAAAGCCTATAAATAAACACAGCTCTCTAGCATATCCTAATATTATCATCATCATGATATATATAAATATTTTAAAAATCCCCTCTCACCCCTATGGGGTGGTATGTGTCTTCCTCAGTCTCGGGTCCTCTACCAGAGGCCTGGGAGTTTGAGGGGTTTGCGCAGTATCTTAGCTGTTCCTAGCACTGCACTCTTCTGGACAGAGAGCTCAGATGTAGTTCCTGGGATCTGTTGGAGCCAGCTTAGGAGTCACAGCCCCGAGTGCTCCTACCACCACTGGGACCATTTTGGCCTTTACTTTCTACATCCACTGTAGATCCTACTTCAGACCCTGGTACTTCTCCAGCTTCT